CTGACTAGGCTCCCCTTGCTGAATTGTTATTCTACGGGCAGCTCGCGTCCACGTGACCTTTACTTACTAGGTCATGCCAAATTACCCCTCATCAATACCTATGTCTAAGGATTTAAATTCAAAATCAAAATTCATCCCACTCAAAACAACATTATGGCTAACAAGAATAATTATGGTTTCTCTAGATTTAAGATGTACATGCACATGTTTAGTTCATTAATCTATTGGTGTTATTAATATACCTTCCGAACTTGTTTAAGTTTCCCTAACATATGAATGCATATTTTAATTTTTTCCACCATATTCATGCCCACCCAATGTCTGTCCCAATATATCTTTTAAAATATCCTTTTTTGATATTTTGAATTTTGGGGAGAATTGGTCCTAATTCTTCGCTACAACCAGTTAGAGACCTTACAAATAAAGCCGGTTGGCACCTTTTATTTGTGAGTAGAGATTTTTTGCCAACAAAACAAGTTCCAACCTTTTACCAATTTGATCTAACACAACACATCTCACCAACCCACTATAAAAGTGGGACCTGTCATGTATGAATTGTATAGTGTAAGATTATGTTGGTAGATGGTTGGAATGTGTTTTGTTGATAAGTGATCCGAATTCTTTATTTGGATTACTGGATCATCGTTTTTAGTTTAATTTAATAATCACATTCAGTGTCTAAAAGTTGATGGAAAAGATTTGAATCTAAATTCCAATCTTAACAAATAAGTGTTTCCTCGGTTGGTTATAAAGGGAAAAGAATCAATAAACAAGATAAGAGGTAGTTTGAACCCACAAATACTCTTTCAATGTTCTGTTAGGACGCCAATGACCTAATACTTGACCAAAATAGGATGTGCATGCCCATGGAATTTCAGGCTCTTTGTTGTATCATTTGTGGGCCTCATGTCGAGGTGTAAATCGGGTTGTGTCACCCATGGCTCAGCATGGCTCGGCACGACTTGGGGTTTCAGGTCCATGGGTCGAGCGGCCCGCCCAAAGAACTAACTGTTG